GGCTTTCTCCTGTCATTTCAAATTTGCTTTTTGAATTTTTTGATTCCATCTTCATTTCAGCTTGATATTTCTTCAGCATCTCTCTCTCTCTCTCTCTCTCTCTCTCTCTCTCTCTCTCTCTTTCATGGATTCACTTTTCAAATCTTGTATTGTCTGTCATATCATTCAGTCGTATATTTGTATTTTCTTGAGCTTCATTCAGGAGTTTGTTCCTGTCCTCTTTGAGCTATTTGTTTGTTCTCTAGTATCCTTGAATTCATTGATAATGCTTATGATTGTTCTTTTAAGTTCTGTGTACTGGGGTTCCTGAGGGTAGGTTTCATTGTAGCACAATTCTATAGGACTGGTGGATTTGGTGGGAACATAATATCTTAGTTTTTCTTTTTCTTTTATTTTGTTTAATTTGTGATGTAGCTTGACTGTTTTCTGGTCTGGTATGAACAGGTTAGTTGGTCTGTGCTTCAGGTTCTCACTTTTGATTTCTTATTGAAGAGACAGGATGGTTCAAGGCAGTCTACTCAGTATCTCTCTAGCAGCTTGGTGGGATTAAATGGGTGGGTTCTGCCTAGCTAAGCAAGGTTAATGTGAGCCCTGGAGCAGTGTGATGGGGGCTGGTCCTAAAACAGGGCATTGGCAGCTGAGTGGGTGGGATCTCATTAACTTTCCAGACTACTCAGGAGCTCTCAGGCAGGGCAAGGTCCCAAGGCAGGGCCTCATTTATTTTGATGTCCCAAATTGATCTCAGTGTTTCTGGAAATATTTCATCAATATAAGCATAGATATTTTCATATTTAGAATATAGAATGCCCTGTATGAACTAATTCTTAAAGTTCATCATTTCCCATGGCACTTTCAAGCCCTCCAAATCAGAGACAATGCTGTCTACAGCAGGTATTTTAAAGCCTCTAAAATGTTATTTCTAATGACCTGCTCTTGATCTCTGTACCCAGCCTTGAATTCTCCTCCTAGTCCAGTCTGAGTTACAGTAAGGAAAACCTAATGAATGAGATTGAAATTAAAATGAGTCTTTGCTTCACTCAGTAAAGCTGGTTAACTGATGAATACAGTAGCAAAGCTGTTCTTGGGAAAGACTGAGCAGCTGAATTTGAAGGTGTTACATATCCGTGTCCTTTGAGAAGTTATATTCTATTAGAAGTGAATTCATAGAGTACAGACTACAGAGTAGATAGTTTCATATATTAAATTTAATGATTTTAGTATCATATGTTACCTTTTGTTAACCACTTGTATTCCTGAAAAACACAATTTATTTAAATATGAGAGTAAATGATGTGTGGGAAATAATTTTAATGTAGCCTGGTGAATGAAGGATATATAAGCTGTACATTAATCCTTCATCTCCGAGGCAGAAGCAAGTATTGCATAGGTTAAATTCATTCACAGCCACTTTAACGTACATTTGGAAAATAAATAAATTAGTGGAATATGAAAATAAATGTTGTAGAAGAGGGAATTAAGCTGAATAGCTAATACTTTCCCATGAATACCTAAAAGCGAAGTATCAGGATGCTTTCCTAACTTGAAAGTTCGACAGTGGATTCCAGACAAGAATGTGGTCCTGGGCCAATTACTCTAATATTATATTCATTTTTTGTCCCTGGGAGCAAAGCAGGTGGCCGCAAGGTGGCTCCATGGGAATTGAAGCCTAGATCCAGATGTGGATCTTAGCAGACTAAGTATGGTGGTTTCGATCTACATACATAATCACTGAATTAATTAGGATTCTTAAAATCAAAAAGTTCTAGAACCTTTTTATAAGTTTGATACAAATTTGTGTTATAACACCCTTGACTTAAGCTGATGTGAACTATACTGTGAAGGTTACTACACCAATATTACTAATATTAGTAATTTAATAGTCATTAAAGGGTGAATTCCCAGATCCCACTAGAAGCATTCTATATACATATATACTTACATATGACTATATTGACAATATTAATTTTGAAGTTTAAAATATCTACATACCCAGTGGACAATAGTTAATGCAGAAACCTACAACTGGTCAAAGTGTAGAAATAAGGGACAATGTAGTGCTCAGCCAGAAATGGTATCTCTCTGTCCACCCCTTGAAGGTACAGGGACCATCACAGAAGAGGGAGTACAAATATTGTAAGAGCCAGATATCAGGGGGACCACAGAAAAACTGAGTGTTCTAGACATGAAAGGACCACAACATTCATGAACTCACAATATTCTAGCACAGAGGAAGGACCGCCTCATGAACTTGACTCCTCACTGAAGAGCTGTGGACAATTGATGGCTTTTGGGAGTGGGAGAGTCAGTTTTCATTAATACTTTGGTCCTGACGTGTCGACCATATTCCAGTGGATGGCCCCACACCCACTTGTATGTGGACAGATCAAATTCATTGTTTGAAGTTTCTAAAGAATTAGCAAAAATATTATACTAAAATAAGAAAACGGAAAAAAAAACTATGTCCCAAAATGCATTTGTACTTAGAATGTCCTTGTGTATAGAGCACTTATATAAGCACATACCTACATACACAGAATTTCCTATTAGATCTCTGTGGCTTTCATTTTGAGTTAGTAGGAGTACATTCATTCTGGTAAATAAAATATTGTTGCTTCATGTATATCATATTAATGCATTTAATCTTGAGGAGTCAACTTCAGTGGTTGCTTTGTCTCTTTTAGAAATAGCTCCAAAATAATCTGGTAAATGGGTACTCCATCCAGAAATATCCCAAAGCAAATCAACAGTCTATTTTAAATTGATAATATCAGGATCACCAGCTTCTTACAGGAAGCCACAAAGTAATGTGTATGTGTGAATAACTTGAAAATAATAAAACTGGATACAAATTAGATTCTTATCCTTCAGTCTACCTCACAGTATTCTCAGTATCACAGATGTTCTAAGTTATAATTGAAACTTACTTGGAGGGAATTGAGGCCAAGTTTGCATAATCTCTGGATTAGTCTTAGATATGTTCTCTTAATCTTTATATAGTAACTAAGAATAAAAAAAAAGATTCACTTTAAAGAGTACTTTACGTAAATATGGAGTCATTACTGGCACTTAAAGAGACATCTGCAAAGAAATATAGAGAAATAAGAGCACTAAGTTATAAGTTTCTTCTCCTCCTCTAGTAGGGATATGTACACATATTCTCCCAGAAGCCTCCATTTCTCCTGCTTTTCTCTAATCTCTTGGTGTATTTGGCAGAGGATTGTACTTGTGGGTAGAACTTAGAAGCTAAGTTTATGAAATGAGTCATTCACAGAGCAAAAATGCCTACCTGGGAGATTAAAGGGCCAGACTTTACGGATCCAAGGCAGAAGTAGTGCAAACAGGCTCCCTATGCTGAATGGTAGTTGATGCTAAGCCAATGCTGGTTTCAGAAGGGTCTTCTTTCTTCTTTAGCAGCTGGGGATGAATATCTTCAGCCCAGGAGTAAGAGCTATAATGTTGGAGGAGATGCTCTGCTAAGGGTAGGGGACAGAACATGAACTGCTATGGGCTCAGGAAAAGGACAAAAGTATATGCTTCTGGAGTTTTGCACAAAGGAATCCCTTAAGTAGATCTGTCTTAGGTTTGAAGGTTGGACCAGAAGGCCAGATGGCCTCTAATGCCAGGGCTGGCCTTGTCTGAACTCCTGCCTCAGACTTGATGAATATCAGATGAGAAAGCCAAACTAGTCACTGTAGTATGAGAGATAACTGGAGGGCCAGATGAATGCTGACCAGAAAAGTAACACCAGACATGGCATCACAGGGGGAACGCACTGACCCCAAGCCTTCCATGTACCATGAGTTGAACAGGCCTCCAAAGGAAGACAAGATCGAAGAGATACAAAGAGATTAAAACCTTCCTCAAAGTTTTGAGCAGAGATTCTGAGGGAAAGCAGAGTGATGTGATGCCTCAGTATGCCGTGAGACAGCTGAGGTTGATTTGCTACATGGCACAAAGAGCAAATGATTGAAAAGGAAGAGGCAATTCTTAATAGAGAGTATCCAGTGGTAGTGTATTTTTTCCCATCTTTTTGAGACAGGGTCTCCTTGTAATCCCAGCTGGCCTGGAGCTAGCTATGTAAACCAGGCTGGTATTGAACTCACAGAGATCTGCCTGCCTCTGCCTTCAGAGTGTTGGGATTAAAGGCTTGTGCCACCACACCCAGTGGCAAAAGGTGTAACCTTTCACATGTTTTGTTTGATTGGTTGTACAAAAATCAATCATTGGAGGTGATTACTTCCTTAGGATCATACCTCCTCAGTAAGTGTTTACAAAACTGTGGTAGTGAAAGAGTCAAAAAGTACATTCTCTCATTTCTTTATTCATGCATCCAACAAAGAGAAATCAATCGAGAACCACCTTACCACCTATGGTCCTTGCAGGGAAGGTACTGGGAACAGCTACTGTCCTTTGAAGGAGCAGGAGTACTACAGAGCCAGGGGCTAGCTTCAGCTCTCCAGCTAGCTGGGAGTCAGAGGCAAGTCACTCCTAGACCCCAGGTCTCAGTTTCCTGTAATTAAATGAAAGAGAAATATTCCATTTCTTAAGGGTAGGACTGTACTGAGTTTGGTTAAAATTAAAGACTTCAAACAACTTCTGGAGTATACAAGATGGCAACATAAAATGAAAACTTAACTGAAATAAATAAAAATGGAGCAAATAAGCATCTAAGGTTCAGCTTCTCACCTGCATCCAGAAGGCATGCAATCTCTGCTGCAAGTTTTCCTGTGGACTCTGAGGGTGGCCAGCCTTTCCTGGTAGAAAAAGCACTGTGCTGAGAGCTAAGATGCTTGCATAAATGCAGTCCTATTTCTAATCAAAACTTTAATAATGGATCAGTCACTGGGCCTATGCTACCTTACATTTCCTCCCTGTAAGATGGAGACCCTACACTCTGCTTTGCCCATAGCTCACAGATAATAAGTCCTTCTGCTGAACGGAGTCATTTCCTTATAGTCTGAGACTGGATGAGGTAATGAATGATGTCATTTTTCTTTCAGCCCTCTGTTGGCCACACCACCACCTCTACCTGCAGTGCAAGGCAGTGGGGGGTCTGGCAGTTCCAGTGACTCAGAGAGTAGCTCTGAATCAGACTCAGACACTGAAAGCAGCACCACTGACAGTGAATCCAATGAGGCTCCTCCTCGAGTGGCCACTCCAGAGGTGAGTGAAATTGCCAAGGTCCCAACATTCATCTATGTGCTGTGCCTTGAACTGCACGCCCCATGTATCAGTATGAATATTTAGCACAATAACTACTTCAGAAAAGTAGCCAGGGGGTTGATAGGATTGCTTCTCTAAAACATCTTCACATATGCCCTTTCATACAAATTTTTTCTGTGTGACTCTAACATGCAAAGACGTCTTACTCTGTGTCTTAGTTTGTTCTTCATTGCTGTGACAAAACACTCTGACCAGTACCAACTTGGGGAGGAAAGGGTTTATTTGTCTTACATCTCCCAGGTCACACACAGTTCATCAGGGAGCCCAAGGTAGGAACTCAGGGCAGGAACTTGGAGGCAGGAGCTGGAGCACAGGCCATGGAGGAACGCTGCTTACAGGCTTGCTCTCTTGGCTCCTGCTCAGCCTGCTTTCTTATGCAACACAGGCCCACCTGCCCAGGGGTGGCACCACCCACAGTGGGCTGGGCCCTCCCACATCACTCATCAAGAAGATGCCCCTCAGACATGGCCACAGGCCAGTCCAATAGAGGAAATTCCCCAATTGAGGCTCCCTCAACCCAGGTGTGTCAAGTTGACACTAACGCTATCCAGCACACTCTGTGATGGCTTTTGTGGGGAAGTCATTTAGCTACTCTGGGCCCCATGCCTTGTCCCACATAAAACTACCACAGTAATGACAATGTGAGCAGCTTCTTTGTAAGTGAACCAACCAAATCAGACACAGTTCTGGACCTGAGGACGCCAATACTTACTCTCCTTTAAAGTTATTTAAGTGATAAATTGATGCTAGAAAAGGTAAAATAGTAGTCAAGAAATGACATGTTCTTTATTTCAATATACATCATGTATCTGGTAATAATACTTTATGAAAATGCTTAGCGTAGCATCACAAAGTAACAAAACAAGAACTTTGAAATAGAAAAAATGTTTTATCCTTCCCATTGTCTGAATTCATAATAACTGCTCTTGTCTCCTCAGCCTGTACCTGGTACGACAAAGAAATTCACTTCATAGCTCTATAGATACTTATAGCTATAGATATAAGATGAAATGAGAAAGTGCAAGTCAAAACCCCAGGACTGTATTTGACTCATGTTAAAAAAATATTTGCTATTTTCAGTAACAATAATATGATTACTGCTTCCTTCTATTATATTCCAGTGTAACAGTAAAAATTAGCGTTAAGAAATACTTTGGTTGATCTGAAGTTGGGTTATTTATATCTAGTCAGACACAAAGGGAAAATAAATCACTAATTCGATTTGCATTGATAGTAAATGCTTCTACGATTGTGTGTGTGTGTGTGTGTGTGTGTTTATATGTAGATTGTCATTTAATACCCAAAATGGTTTGTTTCGTTTTTTACTGTCGAAAGGGTCTCATGTAGCCCAGGCTGGCCTCAAACTTAGTATATAGCTAAAGATAGCTTTGAACATCTGATCCTCCTACCTATACCTCCCAAGTGTGGAATTACATTTGTGCACTCTACCACACCTGGCTTATGTCATTTTTGAGGATGGAACCCAGAGTTTTGTGAATTGTAGGCATTCTACAAACTACATCCCCAGCCAACATCATTTGAGCTTTTATTAACAGATAGTTTCTATAGAGAAGGTCACCTTAAACTCTCCACAAGTAAAATTCATTCTTGTGCTGTTTCTCAATCTGTAGCCTGAGCCACCTTCAACCAACAAATGGCAGCTGGACAAATGGCTGAATAAAGTCACATCCCAAAACAAGTCATTTATTTGTGGCCAAAATGAAACACCCATGGAGACCATTTCTCTGCCTCCTCCAATAATACAACCCATAGAAGTCCAGAACAAAGTGAAATCAAACCCCAGCCAGGTTCTGGCTGGACCCAAAGAAAGGCCTCTCCTGGGTCTCATTAGGGAAAAAGCCCGTCCTCGGCCCATTCAGAAAATTCCAGAAACAAAGGCTTTGAAGCATAAGTTGTCAACGTCAATTGACACAATTTCTCAAAGAACAACTGGAAAGAAACAACCAAAAAAGGTTGAGAAGAACACCAGCTTTGAGGAGTTTACCTGGCCCAAACCAAATATTACCAGTAGCACTCCCAAAGAAAAAGAATGTGTGGACCATCCTGACCCACCACGAAGCCGCAGCAAAGCTGCTGTCCACAAACCAGTCCCTAGGAAAGAACCAAGGCCCCACATCCCTGTGGCTGCAGAAAAGAAGAAGTACAGAGGGCCTGGGAAGATTGTGCCAAAGTCCCGGGAATTCATTGAAACAGATTCATCCACATCTGACTCCAACACAGACCAGGAAGAAACCCTCCAGATCAAAGTAATGCCTCCTTGCATTGCTCCTGGAGGTAACACTGCAAAATCCAAGGATAATTCTAGTGCCAGACTGACCCTTAACACCTTGAATAGCAGCAACAACAGCTCATCTACCAATGAGGAGCCAGTGTTTTCCCCTCTTCCGATCATACAAACTGAACTTTTGTCCCCTATACGGGATTATGAGACTCCGAAGAACCTCTGGGTGAAGATTGACCTTGGCTTACTTTCTAGAGTCCCTGGCCAAAACTCAGTCCCAGCAGCACCCACTAAGACAGATCACAAGGAGACTGCCTCAAAACCTAAGCGTCAGACTGCTGCCACAGCTGTGGAAAAACCAGCCCCTAAGGGCAAGCGTAAGTCCAAGGTGAGTTGTCTGATGGAATCTTCAAGTGATTGTGAGCAGAGGGTCTTTGTTGTCGAATTTTATCTGGAATCTTCTTTTTAAGGAGCCCAACTGTAGAGGATTGCAAGCTCTGGTAAAGAAATTGACATTTTCAAAGGAAATGCAGTATTTGAATATAACCAGACATAGTATTAGGAATGATCGGGGTGTGGTGACAGTCATTGGAAAGTATAGCTCTGACCGTAGTGAGAAGTTATGATATACAGGAAAGAAAAATACATAGAAGTCCTTTCCCTAACCAGTCCCTGGAGTCAGCTCCTTAAACCACTCCTACTAACAGTGTATTATTATACAGTATTAGTGCATTATTGCTTTGCGGTCTCCCACTCCAGCATGGCACCCATGTGACCACAACACCCAGGTCCATCCTCTGGGTTTGTTTATTTCTGCGGACAAACATTACTACTCTTGTAAGTCAGCTATCCTGAGGGCATCCTGGCTTCTGCCACAGGAACACTTTACATTGCCTGCAAAGATTACTACCCTATGTGAAAAATCTCACCAATTTGTTTTTGGACCAATTATAAGTCTACATACTGCCATGAAGAGGGGAAATCCAGAGTGACCCTTACCAATTAAAATATGTCTAGATAGATGAGCTTATGGTCTACAAATGCTTTCTGATTTGCCTCGGGTTGGTTTTTCAGAATAGCATTGTCTCATGGTGCTACTTTGGTACTTTGTTCTTCAAAACACCATAGTGGCTAGAGAAGCAATTCCTAATCATTTCTCCATTTTCTGTTTCTTTCAAGAAGGGTCTTGAATATGGCCAGAAATGGCTTATATTGCTTAGTTAAGAGCAGCTTACCAATGACAACAGTGACCTATGAAATAGGATCTTTCAAGAGTCTTCATTCAGGTGTAATTTAGAGGTTGAAAAGCAGAAGAGACTAAACATGACCAGAAAACAAGGGAGTATCAAGACACAGGGGTGAGCTAGGAGAAAAGAGAACATTAGAACCCAGAGGAAAACTGGAAGAAATGCAAATAATGGGTGCAAGATCAAGAGGAGATCGGGGAGCTCTAAAGACAGGAGACTGAGATGTACTAGGAAACTGACTATGATCGTAAAGAGATGCGCTGTGAGCTGAGTGAATGCAGGAGACTGTAGAGTAAGTAGGTATCTGAAGAATCACAAGACTGAGAATTTCTGGGAGATTCGAGAACACTATGAGACAGGCAAGTATGTGGAGTCTGGGAGTGACAGGAGACTGTAGCGTGCTAGAAGGAACAGGAGAAGTAGCAGACTGGGGACCTCTGAGACAGGAATGCTGGGAAGCTGAGGAACACTAAGACATAAGAAGATATCATACTAGAAAACTGGGGCACACTGGGAGAAAAGGGAGTACTAGCGTATCAGGCAGTGCTAGGAGACTGGGGAGTAGTAGGAAACAGGAAAGTGCGGACAGCCCAGGAAGTGGTGGGAGACTGAAGAGTTCCAGAAGACAGGAAGTCCTAGGACCCTATAGCTCTAGGAAACTAGGGAATGCTATAACACTGAGGAACAGTAGCAGGTAGGCAAATGCTAGGAGTACAGGAGACTCAGGAACAATAGAATACTGAGGCGTACTAGGATGCATGGGAAGACTCAGACGGGGAGTGCTTGAAGAGGGGCATGGCAGATGACTTCAGAGTGCTAGCAGAATATGGAACACCCTCGAGGGGCTTCAGGAGGCCTAGGTAATGAGCAAGGACTAGGGGAAAGGGAGGTACCAGGGTACTAAGGAACAATAGGAGACAGGAATCCCAGGAGAGTAGGGAATACTGAAGGCTGGAGACTAACTGGGAGAGTGTAAGCACCAGAAAGCAAGCAGGTATTAGTGGACTGAAGATCAGTACTAGATTGGAGCACATTAATAGCCCGGAGTGCTAGCAGACTGAAGTGTAGGAGACATGGAAAACTAGAAGACTGTTTATGCACTATGAAATCGAAGACTGTTAAAAACAGGAGCACCATGAGATAGGCAAATACAAAAGAAAAATTCAAATTGGAGTTACAAAATATAGGAGTGTTCTAGAAAGGAGAATATTAGGAGACTAGGCAGTGACAGAAGAATACAGGCTACTAGGAGTCAGGCAAGTACTTGAAAACTAGGGGTGTGGCAGGAAATGGGGGGTCTGTAGGAGACTGGTGTTTACTGAAAGACTTGAAAATCCTGGGCAATCGGAGTTAGAAAGGCAACAAGGTCTTCTTGAGTAGGGAGCTCTAAGAGACAGGGAAGTGTTAAGGGACCAGGCAATGCTAGCAGGCTAGGGATAACTAGGAAACACCAAGAGTCAGGCAAGTGGGACTAGATTGGGCAGCAGGATGAGAGTGAGGAGCAGTAGGAGACTAGGCAGCATTAGGAAACTAGGGAACCCCAGGAAACTATGGATAGCTAGGAAATTGGGGAGTATTAAGAGACAGCACTGGAAGATTGAACATCTCCAGGAGAGAGGGGAGCACAGGATATAGGCAAGTCCTAGGAGACTTAGCTATGATAGGAGATTGAAGAGTGTTAGGAGCCAAGGCAGCACTGAGACGAGGGACCACGAGGAGACAGACAGTTACTAGGAAAACTTGGTTGGAATAGGAGACAGGGAAGCCTATTGATACTCAAGGAACAAGAGACAAGTGAGGGGGAGGGGGAAGGGGCTAGAGATGTTCCCTAGTGTTCAGAGAACATTAGAGCCTGGGGAAAGCTAAGTGATAGGCCAGTAGTAAGAGACTAGACAGTACTAGGAAACTGGGAATTGCTGGGGTACAGGAAATTGCTAAAAGGTTGAGCGATGGCAGGAGACTAGGTTGCACTAGCAGTTGTGGAAATATGTGGAGACTGGGGATCACTAGGAGACAGAGCAGTGGTAAGAGACAGTCAGATACTGGGAGAAATAAGAGCTCTAGAAGACTAGGGGGTGATGGGAGAGAGGACCGTGATAAGAAGCAGGTGATCCCCAGGAGAATGTGGAACACTTGAAGACAGGACAGTACTGGGTGAATGGGGATGGAGGGGAATGGTAGAGGGCACAGGAACATTAGGAGACTGGGAAGCTGTGGGAGGACTGGAGAACAGCACTAGGAGAAGGGATTGGTGCAGGCAGGGCAGTTCTAGGAGGCAGGAAAGTACTAGAAGAAAAACACTCAGACACAGAGGATCCCTAGCATCATCTCTTGAGCCATGCACTAATTTATCCAGTGAGAGCATCTCAGAATAGAGTAGAAGTCTGAGACCCTTGACCTGCTCCTGATTCTTCTCTTATTGATGACAACAGTACAGTCAAAATGTGCCTTTGGAGCAACACAGTTCAAATCCAAAGGCATGCCCTGCATATGATTCGTTCCATTCCATATTGTTGACAGCCCTTATGTGTCATGCAAAAAGCCCATGCTTTTTGGACAGGATTTGAGCTGTTACAGTTACAGTGTTAGTTTCTAAGCTACAAATAAGGGCACTCTTGATGACAGAAGTGTATGAGAATTGTAGATTCTCTTGACTTTGGTTGTGAGGTTCCTGTGCTAGTCAATCTTTAATCAGAAATTTACATTGAGTTTTAACCCTCTTAAACGCTAACATCTTGTGCGACTAGCCTAGGTAAGGTTGATTGCTTTTCTGTCTGATCAAAGGTACACATTTAACTCTCCAACCTAATGTAGAAGATAAAATAGAAACAATCTGTCTTGCTCATTTTTTAAATGTGTGAAACAGTTTTCTGAATGTGTCGTCTATTTCATACTCTGTATTTTTTCCCTGTCAAAGCCAGCAGAAGTTGCAGACAAAATCCCTGAGAAGAAGCAACGACTGGAGGAGGCCATCACTATCTCCCTGCCTCCTCCTTGTATTTCACCAATTCCACCCCACAAGCCTCCCAGCACCAGAGAGTAAGTTTGCCCCACCTCTGTGTGATGGAAATGTATGAGTGTTTTGACTTTTTTAAAAACCATGTTCGAAAATATTACAGGTATCCTATCCCATTAGAATTTTAAGCCAGAATCAAGAGTGTGCTCAGTTTAAGCCTGACTATTGTCTCTGATCAGTAGTCTATGATGGGTAAAGAATAGAATACAGATTATCATGTTTAGAGTGACAATAAGCTTTTAAGCAACGCATCTTTGCTCCAACTCAGAATTATCATCTAAATTAACCTCAATGAACTTTTTTGCACTAAGAGAAAGGTTTACACATGAAACAAAAAGAGGAAATATCAGAAAATATAAAACACCTTTATCTCATCATATGCTTCTATTTGAGGTTCAGTTTTCATGGTAACTGAACAATTCCCATTGATCCTGATAGGGTGCTGATTTATTATGTGATGTTTATGCAAAGCTGGAGGATCACTAGTTGCATCCTGACCCTATAGAGGCCAGGAGAATAACATGTTTGGAGAAAGGAGAGAAATGAGCTGTTGGGAAATTGGGCCCCATCCCCCCGGAGGACAGTTCTCTGTCAAGGAATGCTTGTAGGGATGGGTATGTTAGTTCCAACTAACTGGCATCTCCTCTCCATTCTTTCTCTATAGCAAGGTTCCAATGTCAGGCAGGGGGTCTCCTTGTCCTTTCTTCACTCAAATAATCACTTTTCTCCAGAGAAGTCCAGTCCTCTGTTCCTAACAAGCATTGTGACCGAGTTCTTTCTGTTTTGTAAATATCACTTAGCTAACAATCATGTCAGCTACTCGAGCCATTCTGTCTGGATAATTATTGCAATAAATTCATTCAACATTGGAGATTACTCCCATCAAAGCCCAGTTTGGTAGACTATTAGCAGCCTAGAGGAGAGAGGCAATCTGGCCAACTGCTGCTAACAATTGATTTCACAGATTACTGATTAGCATCAGTGATACAGCATCAATCTGCCACAAATCAGATGTCGGAAATAAGTCATCAGCTTACAGAGCTTTGGCTTCTTGTTTTGAAATGAAAGGTAGGATCAGATCGATTATTGATAGACCTACTCTGTATAATAAAATCATTCGGCCCCCAAGATGCCTGCCCCTCACCCTGAGAATCAGTAGCTATTTGTGCTATGTGTATGTACTCTCTGATAGAGTCTGGTTGTACAATCACCGTAAACATTGTTCTTGTTCTCAGAAAAGGAAATCCAGTAGAAAAAAAACTGACCTGCTTTACCTCAGAGTGGGCCAGTTATAAGAGGAAGCATGGACCTTGATGGTCAAACATAATCATTCTAGATCTAGGCCCCTTACCAAGGAGGACAGAATAAAATGGTATAGTGATGATGTAATATCTCCTTCTCAGTTTCCATGCTATGACCAGCTTGGACCACCTATAGGCAAAAGGAAAAGACCAGGACAGTAGAAAATTGCCACACCTACATCCCCTTATTAAGCCACCTCACTATGTAACCCACTGACTTGTTACTCTAAAGTAACTATTGATAAAATAGTATTTTTAGTGCACAGACTTTGTATGCCCTCTGCTTTCCTAGTATGTGAGAAATTGATATTTGCTTAGGAGCATTTATTGTTCAGGAAGGGCTTCTAGCATGTTTTTATAGTTATCAAAGACATTCACATCCCTGGAATTGAGGAAGAATGAATCAGATTGGTGTCTTAAGGATGTTCGTTTTGGAAACTTTCCCTCAAGCTTTATCTGCTCCACTGTATCTTTGATCCTTTGCATTAAATCCTTAGAGATTTCTAAGAGAAAATGCTCACTTTTCAAAATGAGCATTCTAAATCCAAAGAACTGACCAACAGAATGCTCTGTTGAGTACCCTCCACCATTTAGAGCTTATCACATCAATGGAAACTCAGTGTAATGGTAATGCACTTAACTCTTATCTACTGCGGGTTGGTCCTCTTCTATCCTACTTAAAGAGGGGCACAGATATGCAAACTTGTTTATTGTGGTTAGAAGGGTAAAAAATGTTCCCTGGGGGCTGGAGAGATTGTTCAATAGTTAAGAGCATGAGTTGCTCTTGCAGAGGACCTGGGTTTGGTACCCAACACCCACAGGAAGCTAACAACCATCTGTAACTACAGTCCCAGGGGATTCAATTCTCTCTTCTGACCTCTGTGAGTATTGTATGACACAGGTGCACTTACATCATACATGCAGACAAAACACATGCATCTAAAATAAAAATAAACAATTTTTTTAAAGAAAAATTTTCATTGGTGCCTTGTGTCAACACAATTATTAAATACTTCATGGTTCTTTTCCTCGGTGCCTTGTGTCAACACAATTATTAAATACTTCATGGTTCCAATTTACTACTAAATAAATGAGGAGACCAAAACACTGATACCTCTTGTGCAAAATGCACTGTTTCCCCAATCCACTGGAAAACATAGAGTTCCAATTGCAAATCAATTGCTTCTCAGAAGCTATTCTATCCTTTGCAGCTCCCAGTACCTTCATAAGAAACTCAAGTAGTCGGGGAGTGGCTAGGACTAATGAAGAACCTCCCGTAGATGCCATGGGAATGCTTAGCATATGTGTGTGTATGATGTGCATGTGCATGTACATGTGTATCTATATGCATCATCAAAGCCACATGTCTTGTACTTCATGTGGTCTGATGTTGGTGGAGAACTTCCTCATGACTGACCTTGAACTCACAGAGATCCTCCAGTGTCTGCCTCCCGAGTGCCTGGCTATGACTAAGAATCTTCATCATGTGTTCACTACCATTTGTATCTGATATCACAACTATGATAAATGACTCTACATCTTAAAGGAATTAAAAAAAAATAATTGGTAAGGGTTTTCATACTAACTTTAATCAATTAAGATAACAACAGAAACATTTCACTTTTTAAAGGGTGTACTGCATGACAATACAATGACATAGAGTCACATTTATGAAGCAAGGGATGAGGAAGACAGCATGTATTACTATAATTGACAAATCTGTGTAACAGAGGTGCAACAAGGAGCGTGAACTGATCTCTGTTTCAGGAAACCAGACCACTTGAATGCTTGTTCATCCTTGATTTGTTGCTCTGAGATATGGCAAATCTATATATCTAGACACTGACTGAACTGACCAAGAGGAAAACATAAATTCTTGTTGACTTAATTTGCTATTGAAAATTGCCGTCAATAATCATGAAAAGCAAATGGTTGCACAGTACAATATTACTTGTCTAAGAAAAGATTAAAATTCACATAATCTTCATTGATTAGTCTAAGACAGTAACTAAAATGAAAATCCATGACCCAATTACCATGTAAAGCAGTTAGCATAAGATTTCAGTTGTTCTGTTTTATTTGAAGTCTCAGTCTGCTTGATGTGCCCATATAATGGGCAGATAAATCACTTTAAAAGCATGGGAGTACTTTTAGCATTGCAGATGTCTCTTGTCAATATGACCAAAGAATATTTTAAATGGAGTTTTTTGAAGTGGAGTACATCAGTACTTCAATATACCAATTTAAAGTGAGTGGATATTTATAACTTGGCATTGACAGAGAACATTCTGTACAGACAATTTTCAATGTTTCACACTAGTATTTAGCATGCAATTTATTTGTAATAACATAGAAGCAAGATATATAATATTTTTATTAACTATGAAATGTATTGTGCCTTATATCATTTACTGCTTGAATTTTTAGTTAAGCCTTAGGGTAAAAGTAGGAATTATCCTGAAGAATGGAAGAACTGAAGTCTGCATTGTATTTTCTGTTAAAATCTAGTTAAGAATAATCTTCATAGTTTTCAGATATCATACTTTCCATTAGACATCTTCACCAGTAATGGAGTTCTACTTCAAGGACCTGTTGACTGGATACGTATGCAAGCATAAATTTCTATATGTCCATAGAATGATTCTATCTATAGCACTCTCTATATGACTCTATGCATTTATATATATATATATGTATGTATTCTAGAAAAGGTAAAGGATCATCCATTTTGCACATCACTTCAGCAAAAATAGTAACATAATGGGGAAAAATCTGAATCAAGAGAGATAAGATTTTGTGACAGCTAACACTGCTTTGTTTCCACAGAACTACTTCATCCAGGAGAGCAAATAAGCGAAAAGAAGAAAAACTATTGCCTCCACTACTTTCCCCACTGCCAGAGGACCTTCCATGCCGCAGAAACGTCAGTGGGAACAGTGCGCTCCTCAATCAAGACAAAAGCATTTCCATGACTGGACAAACCACCTCTACTAAACCTAAGAGAAGTGAAGGCAAATTCTGTGCTACATTCAAAGGGATAACCATTAATGTAAGTAGCGTAGAAGAAATGTTATGTCAGGCAAAACCAAGTTAACTTGGCTCATCTACTGTGACTTTACCAAGGGAATCTTGCAAAGGAAAGGGAAGAAGAGCCACAGACAAAACAAAACATGTTTGTATCCAGATACACAAACTCTATTATTTTAAATCATAATTACTCTAACCTGGCATGAATTCTTTCATTCCAAATTAACTCGCCACCTTGCTTCTCCTCAAATGGATTGCACATGCAGAGACTCATGGCTTTAGATGTCCTTGGTTCAATCCCGTCCTATCTTATAGGTGAGGCATACACTGCCATAATACAAAACACAGCAACTTCTATATAGTAGTCACTGATCTTTCAGTGTATAAAAGAAGTGGATGGACTTGGGGCACCCCAAGGTCATTAACTAGGACAAGAACTCCAATTTTCTTCAGATTTTCAAATGTGAATTGCTTGAAAAACAATGATTAAATAGAATTGACTGTCAATATTGAATCTGTTTCTAAGATGTACAATAAGGCTTCTAACCTAAAAGACTTGGTAGTCCTTCGGGTTTTCTGTATTGTGGCTTCATTAGCATATATCATCAAAAACCTGTATCATTTTCTGTTATCTATCATACAATGCCATTTTATTTCTCAGGAAAAAGTACGGGAACTATTTAAACCATCAGCCACCATCTCATTAATGAATGTTAATCACTAAGGTATCCACCATTCCATATGTAGCTAAAGAGATACAGATATAGAGACATAGATATAAAGACAGACACACATGTAGAAACAGATATGTCAACCCACATGTACTCGATCATCTTTAAATATAAAAGAGCACATGAGTGAAAAGGAAGTTCTCAGATGTCAGACAGTAATATCATTTTGGAACCTGAAATTTGTTGCCTGTTTGACAACTCATGAAAGGCCATGAGGGCCCTTAGCATTTAAAGACCCAATATACAAGCCTCCATCTTCTAATATATCTTAGATGACATAAATATAATTGCCACTACAGAAATTTACACTAGTGTGAGGCTGATATTAACCATATTTTCATATATATCTAAATACACTGACTCTATAATGTTGACAATTATATATCTATTCTAATCAGTAATTACTATTCATCATATGGTTTATATACAGTCTAAATAATATTACAAATTCCTATTGATATACCCTTTTATTACAAGTTCTTGGAGGGCATGGAGCATAGCAAGAGAATTTTCTTTGTTTACTGCCTAATATATTGTCACAGAACCATTAAGCATTGCAAATAATAATGCCTACTGTTTTGCTACAAGTAATTGTGTTAGAAATAATATATTATGAAAATGATGATGCTTATAGAAATCTACAGTCAGGTATGTGACAGATCAAAATTACTAGGGAAATTTTATATATATTATAGAATTGTATCATTCTTCCAAGTTTCATGAAACATTTCTGATTTCATAAAATCAGTGGATTTGTGAACAGGTTTCTTGTTTATTTAATTTTCATGATCATGACGGTTTCTAATTTCTTCTATTCAGATGTTTCAGCACTAACATTAATGTCATATCTGTGGTGTTTCAAGGTTCTTGTCACATATCTTGGCCATAGAAACAGTTGTCTCTGTCCTGGGCTAACCCTACTGTTTGACCTGTACCAGTCTGACTCTAATAGTGGAGACATGGGGCAGGCATCATAATCTCTTATGTCTCCTATTCTTGTACATATTTAGACTATATAAAATTTATGATTATCTTTAAAGTATCTTATCATAAGAATTCATAGATGTGCAGCCTTTCTGTGCATTTATCTCAATGTGCTCTCAGTGGTAAGAATTATCTGATAACCATGAAGGTCAAGGATCAAATGGAAAAGATCAATTTTCATGGATTAAGAAATGCTGTACTTAGTTTTTATCTTGAGAGTGAACTCTTTCACTAAGGTAAGCATGCACACATATGTGCCAAAGCATATTCAGCAAATTCTAGGAGTACTGGACTGTGGGTTAAAGGGGCAGTATCATAAATCATGAGTGGCTTCTAGTCTGAAGTGACCAATAAGACTGAGCTCTACTGACTGGAATATAAAATAGCTGATGATTGATATCTTAGGAAAGGAAGAGAGACAGTCCTGTGAATGGCACAATGGACATAAAATCATGTCTAGCTACAGGCACAAGACAGTTTAGCTGGTAAGGAGACATTTGTTGAGCTGAGCCTTAATAGATGAGAAGGGAAATGGAAAATCAAAATGTGGCCTCTGCACAGAAAGGAATATTATTCAGCCTTACAGAGAAAGGAAGTGCTAAATCATGCTACAACGTGGATAACCTTTGAGGATGTTAGGCCTAGTGAGATAAGCTAGAAATCAAAGGACGAAGATCTTTGGAGTGGTCGCATTCATAAAGACACATAGGATAATAATGTTTGACAAGGGTTATGGTAAAGGGAAAATGAAGATATGTTTAACGGATGCAAGGGATTCGTTTTTCAAGATTAATATGAGTTCAAGATGGGTTGCATGGGAATGAGAAGGTTTCGTTCTACTGAACTTCACAGTTCAAATGGTGGGCATGGTCAATTTTATTATATACATATATATATATATATATATCACCATAATTTCAGAGATTTACAAATAAAATAGAAATGACAGAACAAATGATCACAAAATGAAAATAAAAACTCACAAAGAAATGAAGGTCGGGATCACTGAAATCCCAAAGTGCACATAAACCAGTCAGGTAAGTAAGGAAAAGAAAACAGGGTCATGCTTAGTTTGCTTTACTCTAAGATCCATGGAAAGGAGAAGTTGTAGATCAGTCACAAAGTGGAATCTAGAGCAGGGAAAGCTTGAATTCCAGTGGAGGAGCTCAGCCTTGAATTTTCACTAGGGGGTAACTCAGCAACGGGCCTAGAGCTTTGTTAAGAAAACTCAGATTGTAGGCCACAGACTGAAGATGAAATGTGAAGCTGCCCAGAGGTTCTTAGCCTTGTAAGAAGTGAGTCTCAGCACTCGAGGGCACAAATGTAGAATGCACAAATTTGAGACATTTTGGGGAGGAATAGTAAATCGGAGTTTGTCATTCATTTCATAAACCTAATAGAGAAGAAGTTAAATAGGAAATAGATCAGTAGTCTTGAGAGAATTTTGAAAGAACTGATTTTCGAGATTAAATAATTTACAGAACTTCAATATATGAAGTTGATTAAAACAGAACACTTCAGGTTAAATGCATGATGGATAGGCCATTCCCTGCCTGTTCTAACATGACTGGCCTGGAGATACCCACAGGAACTGTGGCAAAGGCAGTTGTGAACTCCTAAATGGTAACAAGGAAAAGAACTTTACCATTGACAGAAAGAACAGGTTTGCTTATCAATTTTATTTAAAGACATTTGGGCCATCTTGGTGGAACTGTTAAGAGCTGGTTCATACGGATTCAGAGCTTCAAAGAAAGAGCAAGATTTGTGTTTCGTTTTCAGAATTATCTGTTTGTTTAATGTCGAATCTGTGCCAACACATACAAGTTTGGTCAATCTGACCAGGAAAGAAGCGAGCTGAAGAATAGGGCTTTGGAACATGTCAATCTTAGGGAGATAACCAACTTAGAAGAACATGAAAAGTATTGTCAGAGTTAGAAAAGTCAGGAAGGATTGTCCACAGCTGCCTGGTGGGGTAAAACATTCTGTCATGTGAACATGGTAGGTGGTCTTGTGACATGGTACTAGCACATAATTACAGTTCCCAACACATATTTGTTCTTCTGGCTCTACTTTCTATAGTAATGCCAGATCAAAGCAAAGCCCTCACAAGTCTCTTACCCACTTGCTATTTGACTTGGTAAAAATGAGGTTTCACCATCTGAAAACTTCAAAATGGCATGGTATTCACTTTGACAGACAAGAATCAAGGGCCTCATGAGAACAAAAGAACTTCTTTAACCTCTGGTCAGTCAGGACACTGATTATTGAACAGTGCCTGATCAGCTGATATTTTTATTCTCTCTCTTCCTCTCTCCCTCTCTCCTTTCCTTCCTGTCACCCTCCCTCTTCCCCTTTCAGTTCTTCTACATTATTTCTTCCCCTCCCCCATCACATTCCCTTCTAGATTCAAACCCTTACCATGCATTTGTTAATATAACAACTGGGCTATGTAATCACAACACCTGAATAGCTTGATCTTTGGTGTCATCATAGAACAAAAGCTAATGATCCATAGCATTTATAAAGTAGATTAGGATCACCAATTCCCCCTTAAGCTTTTTATATTATTTCTTTCTTCTTGCTTGTTTCCTACTGTGCCTTACATTCAAAACATTTATGAAGAACCGGTATGAATAAGCTGGACCTAATGCAAGCTGTTTGTCCTCATTTTTCCCAGGAGGAAGATGCTCCAAAAAAGGCTGCCTCTGCCACTGTGGCTGTCACCAACACTGCTACTGCCACTGTCACAGCTACTGCCACTACCACTGCCACGGCCACGACCACAACCACCACCACCACTATTTCTACTATCACCTCTACTATCACTACTGGCCTTATGGATAGCAGTCACCTGGAGATGACGTCCTGGGCGGCCCTGCCACTCCTGTCCAGCAGCAGCACTAACGTCCGGAGACCCAAGCTCACTTTTGATGACTCGTATGTTGTCCCCAGGTTATTTCAGACACTGGGAGTGGTGACTGGGGATGAGGGCAGTATGGATTTTTTTAGTGCTATGCATGTGTCATCCCATTTAAGACTTCGTATCCTCTCTTATAACCTTAAAGAAACATCCCCTTCCATACAAAAACCTCTGTCACCACTGAGGAATGTCTTTGGCCCATTGTAATCCTGTGTCTTTGTAATTGTTTCCCAAGACAGATTCCTGCAACCTAGGCTATGTTTTTTTTTTCTGTTCTTATGTATGTATGTAGCTAGGGTTTTATGTGATGTGTTTGGATAATTTTAATGACTGAAGTTGGAAGACGAGGGTTTTGGTACTAATGGGCCACCAAGCATTTTAGAGTTCAATTATATCATTCCAAGATTGGTTATGATATGAACGACAGCATTAGCCTGCCCTTTTCAGGATATTATATAGGAATGAATTTATAGCCCTCCCAAGTTTTTGACTGCTCAGTTTCTTAATGAAGATGAACCACTGATTTGTAAAAGACTTTATTCTGTTTGTTTAGTGTCCACAATGCTGATTTTTACATGCAAGAGGCTAAGAAGCTGAAACACAAAGCTGACGCACTGGTATGTTTCCTTCTCATTGCTTTGCTACAGCTAAGGTATAATGCTTTGGAAGAAACAATGAACATGCAAATATGTCAAACATGCACTAGTGCCATCTAAACATTCACAGGGTATCGCTGTGGTTACAAAGGACTACAAGTCCGTTAGTTGTTTAGTACCGTGATTCTTAAAGTTCTTTGACCTGGACTTTCATGCTTTTGTTTGTCTTTTTTTTTCCCATTGGTCCAGCTTCAGAAGCTCAGTCATATATACTATTATAATATCTTATGATGAGTTGAAACGACTTTTGAAAATGGCCCAGATATGATGGCAGAGTTTGTTGGGTTCAGTATACCACAACTCCAGTGGGGAGGTGAAAGGTGTTGGGTGCCATTGAAGGGACCTCAAACTTTGTTTTGGGGAAACCTGAGTTTACAGAAAAAGCTCAGATTCTTGTTGCATTTGGTTCCATGTTCCCAGAGCATGGTACATCATGAGGCTTTCCAATTCTAAGCAGAGGAAGAAAATGCTGTCATCTCGATTTCATCTGAAATATTTCCCAGCTGTTTCTTAGGGTCTTGGCTGACCTAAACCAGTGATGAGCTCACCACATTGTTTATATTAATTGAGTCTCCTAATAATGGGTTTGAACTACATGTTGCAATCATTTGGGTTGCTCAGGCTACATCCCAGACCAATGAAATAAGAATTTCTACGCCTGGGGCCCTGCCATGAGACCTAAAGCTCTCCAACTGACTTCCAAATGTAACCATGTGAGAACTAGTGTCCTTGAGAAGATATTGGGTTCAGTCTCCGCACCACTGACTAGATCTCAGAATAATTAGAAATACCAGTTCAATGTCATTATGGGAAAAAATAGCATCTTCCAGCACTGAATTTTGTCTTTTTGGGCTTCAGCTTCATTTGACTCTGGAGAAACAAGCCATCAAGCTCTGTGCTAAAGCTAGTGTGTGGCTGACATCAACTGCCCATGGCCCTTATACCTGCCACTTCCCTACTCTCTGTCACATTCCCCTGCTGTCTAGACTGCTTGGATATTTTCTAAAGCTAGCATTTCTATACTATGAGTTGTCCCTTGAAAACAATTTCCCCATGCCCCTGCAGGCAAAAATGACCAAGCAGCCTGGGGTCCACTGGAAATATCAGACAGATGTTGCCTGTGATCTTTGGTTGGTGGTCAGCAATTTAAAATGTAGTGGAGACAGTGGTGCTGACTGGAAGACCAAAGGTTTTCTCCAAATGTTGTCAACTTTGGCTCTTCAGAAGTGTGCTAAAGCTTTCCTTCTTTTAAAATTAGCACAAAAACCTATATGTTACTAAATTTGAAAACCTAAGAGAAATGGATGCATATCTAAAGGCATGGGAACCACGAAAACTAAACCAAGAAGAGATTAACAGCTTAAACAGACTGATATCACAAAAAGAAATTGAAA